TTTCCCTGTGCCTCAGTTGTCCCCTCTCCCAATGCCTGGCAACCCTGCCGACTACAGTGGCCTGTGTGGTGGGCCTGAGCTCACCGCAGTAGGCAGCTTCTACCTGTACTGTGGCCAGGACGGGCTGCAGTGTGGGGGCTACTCCCCCTGCCCCATGCTTCCAGAGGGCAAGTTGTCCCCAGTGGCTGCACCTAACGAGGGGCTCCTTCTGGCCCCAAGCTCAGTGCCCTCAGGCACCCCTTTCCAGCACCCTCCCTGGGGCTCCTCTCACTACTGCTCCAGTGAGGACACTGGAGTGAATGGCTACAGCATCTGTGGAGTGCTGCCTCTGTCTGTCACCCATGTTGGCACTACCTGTGGCGGCTGCCCCTACAAAATGCCTTTTGCAGCAGGTAAACCTTATGGGGTGGAATATGCTGGAGGGTCTCTAAACATGGCTCCCTAGGAGGGCTGTGGTTCTGGGCAGGGGCTCCCTGGGATCTCGCTCCTACCTGGAAGATGAGGGGAACCTCTCTGGTTTGTGCCCCAGGAACATTTCCAGGAAAGGGGTCCCATGTTTAGCCCTCGAGCCTTCTTTGTTGTGTCCAGGCTGTGTGTAGGTATTTCTTGGCCTTGTGGTTTGGTAGCATTGTGTCCGTGAATGGGGCAGGAGGGCCTGTCCTCCCTCCTCACTGGGATAGCCATTCTTAGACTCTAAGTAAGTAGTCCTTCTGCCCCCCGGGAGGAAAGCTAGCTTTCCTTACTTTCTAGGATCCCAGGCCATATAGGGGCTGGGCAAGTGTAACATTCATGGAAAATGTGCTGAGCACCCACTCAGCATAGCTCCAGCTGCAGTAGGACAGCCTTGCCCTGGCCATACAGGCCTTGGGAGAAAAGAGCTGGGCCATCCCAGAGCACCCCCTCCCCTGGACTCGCTTTGGTGTCTGCCTTCCTAGCAAGACCCAGATACCTGGCTGTTTTCTTGCCCCAGCTGCTGAGACACCCTCAGAGCCCCCTCTTTTCCTGCAGATAGGTAGACATACCTGTCCCTCCAAGCTCCCTCTCTGGTTCTTGGAAATGAGGTGACCAGAACCAACCTGGCCAGTAGGTCTGTCCTTCCCAGGACTCTCCCCTTCCTCACCCCTTCTCATAGGGGTCTATAAAACAGCTTTATAGACCAGTTGGCTCTGGCCAGACTGGTTGTTTCAGGTTCTGGCATGATTTGGAGCTCTTAGGAATGAGACAGACCTCTTGAGCTTTTTTCTCTTGCGCCACTTCCCAAATCTAGCCACCTAACCTATGGGACCCAAGACCCTTGCCCATTTGGCCTAGTGATGGGGCCACGAGTAAAACACCATGTGCCAGACGGTATCTTAAGTGCTTTTCACAGGGGAGGCTGCACGCACATAGAGACTGAAGTCAGACAGCCTGGGGGACACGTTACCCCTCCTCTTTGACCATGGGACAAGTCAGGAACTGTGTCTCAGGTTCCTTAACTGTCAGCAGTAGTACCTACCTCACAAGTTGCTCTAAAGATGAGATGAACTGGTACGCTCATAAGAACAGCAGGGAGATAGCGCACAGTGTTTATAACCACTGCTTCATGTGGCCCTGAGGGGCCTGAAGTCACACAGCTAACATGTGGCAGGTCCAGGATTCATATCCCAGAGAGTCTGACTGCAGAACCCCTGCTCCTCAACACTGCGGGTGCCTCCGAGAAGTTTAAGGCAGAGCTAAAGAAGCTTTGACCCACCCACCCTCTGTCTCATTGCCTTTCCACTGGACGAGGTAGAACTGTGTGCTGGCCAGTCTCCAAAGCCAAGAAATGCCCCTCCCCCTTAGACAGTCTGACGACCTGTCTGTGAAGGCCCCGATCCCGTCTACCACCTCAGTGGCCCTTGGGTGGACGCTTAGAAGTAAGATAGGTGAGGGGTTACTGCTTGTCCTTGCCTGCCCTGACCTGCTCTCCCTTTCCTAGAAGGCTGCAGGTCCCTGGGCCAGCTGGAATTTCCTCTCCCAGAAGCTGGCCACCCTGCCTCACCCGCCCACCCCCTCCTGGGATGCCCTGTGCCCAGCGTGCCACCTGCAGCGGAGCCCGTCCCCCATCTTCAGACACCCACCTCAGAGCCCCAGACAGTAGCTCGCGCATGCCCTCAGAGCGCCAAGCCTCCCAGCGGCTCCAAGTCAGGTCTGCGCACGGGCTCCAGCTGCAGGCACACCGTGAGGAGCAAGGCTGCCCGCAGGCCCAGCCACCCCAAGCAGCCGCGTGTCCAGCGCCCACGCCCTCCGC